TCAGCAAACAGTAGCAAACAATAACAGTTCAGTCACAGGCACTCACAGTCAGTAATCACAGTTAGTCACAGTAACACACAGTTACTCGCAGCAGCACACAGTTACAGACAGAGACATTTACAGTAAGCTTTCCAGCTTCTAATGCTTCCTTATATTGTAACTTCTAACCGCACCCTTAATCGGCTAATTGCCTGCTGCATTGTGCTTAAAGTGATAAGCACTTAAACCATGATATCTAAGTTTTATATATTTATTCACCCAAACCATATTTGGTATCAATGTTATACCTAACATATACAATAAGAGATTTACAGTGCATTCAGAAAATATTCAGATTCCCTTCACTTTTGTCAATTTTGTTATGCTGCAGCCTGATTCTACAAATGTTGAAATTCATTTTTTTCCTCAATGATCTACAACCAGTATCTCATAATGACAAAGTGAAAACAAACTTTTAGAAATGTCTGTAAATTTATTAAAAATTTAAAAAAAACTGAAATATCACATTGGCATAAGTTTTCAGGCTCTTTGCAACAACACATGAAATTTAGCTCTGGTGCCTCCCATTTCTCTTGATCCTTGCTGATATGTTTCTACAGGTTGAATGAGTTGACCCTATGGTAAATTAAACTGATTGGACATGATTTGGAAAGGCACACACCTCTCTATAGAAGGTGTCACATTTGACAACGCACACTGTAGCAGAGCAAAAGCCATGAGGTCAAAGAAACTGCCTGCATAGCTCAGAGATAGGATTATTGTAAGGCACAGATCTGGGGAAAGCTACAATAATTTTTTTGTGCATTGAAGGTTCCTAAGAGCACAGTGGCTTCCATAATTCTCAAATGGAATGTTTGGTGTAACCAGGACTCTTCTAAGAGCTGGTCACCCAATCAAACTGAGCAATCAGGGGAGAAGGGCCTTAGTAAGAGAGGTGACCAAGAACCCGATGGTCAATCTGACTAAGCTCCAGAGATCCTGTGTGGAGATGGGAGAGAGTTCCAGAAGGACAACCATCAATGCAGCCCTCCGTCAATTTGGGCTTTATAGCAGAGTGGCTAGTACAAAACACATGAAAGCCCACTTAAAGTTTGCAAAAAAGCACCTGCCCTGAAGGACTCTCAGACTGTGTGTAACAAACTCTAAGCGGGCTTTCATGGGAAGAAGAGCAGCAGTGGTTCCAACCCTCAACATTCCAGAAAGATGCCAAGGTTGATGGTACTGAAAGTTGAAAGATCCAGGAGAACCAGAATGGTTGTGTCACTCCTATCCTGAGTGCTTCAAAGGACATCTACAAGCATGACCAATGTCTTTTCAATGCTGTCCCACCATCCTGAACCCAGACTGAAAAGTGTCCAGATAATCCGCTTCATCCAGAGCCCTAAAAAGGGAAGTTTAGACACTGGATGAAAATTACCATTGGATCCATGTTCTCCTGTCAGATATTTCTGGAAATTTCTAAATGATTGATCGTGCCTTTAATTTGGTTCCCTGCAGTAAGCTTCTGCAATATGATGCCCTGCAGACTCACTGGGACTGCAACTCCCATCCTGGCTGGCAATTCTGAGGCTTGCAATCCCTGCAATATCTATAACATGACAGACTGAGAAGATATTCTACAATTGCAAGAAGTCTATTTGTTGCTTCATTCCATCTGCTTTGGGGAGGCTCAGAGGAACTGTATTTAATTCAGCAGGGAAGCTTCCTGGCTATGAAACGCTCTCTCTGGAGGTGCATTTAGTTCCTACTCTACCAATATTTAGAAAAATAGTAAAGACAGTCTATTTTACTAAGCTTTTAATTGTTGATTGATTTTTAATTTTACTGAAATTTATGTTGCATCTTTGTTTGGAATATTGCAAGCTTCTTTGGGTGCTTTCATGAACAAAAATGTGGGCGTTGAAACCCTTTAAAATCCAAATGAAATGGAAAACTGATTACCACTGAATGATTTTAATTGAAGAAATATGTGGATCTTCCCCACAGAACAGGGAGATCTTACCTGCTGCTTCTAAGCTCAAGGTTAAGCCTGTATCCAGTTTGTTGTGTGGCTTTTTGCTGATAAACAAGTAACAGAGGACACACACAGTGATGAGAAAGGCCAGCAAGACCATTGCTGCAACTGACAAGCCAATAAGCGCTCCAATACTGAAAAAGAAAGAGCAGTAAGCTGATGAATTTAAGGACATTGTCAAACCCTTTGAAAAGCATCATTGCTGCATGTATTTAATGGGAAAAGACAGATGTTTAGGCACTATGGGGACATATAGATTTCCCTTGACTGTTCTCATAGAAGCTGAATTATGCCTTCTCTGACTGGACTAGGTTTGTAGAGCAAACATCATCTAAGGTGCTGCTTTTATTGTATTTCCTTGAATTACTGCATTTGATGTTGCTCTTGGCTAAACATGTATAAATCAAGAGCCGTTTCTTTGAAACTCATGGAATTAAATCCAGGTAAATCAATTTAAGTGAAGTCCTTCTTAAATCTGTGTCTCCTGTCAAACAGATAATTGGATAAAGGGAGGAAATGTCTGTACCCACTTGAAGCATCTCAAATAGGCAAAGGATTCCCTTTTGCATGCACATCCTTAAACTTTGCAAAGAATCAATAGTAAAATAAAGCAAGATAAATCAACTGAAAATAGAAAGTAGCATTGCTCAATAAGTCTAGAGAGACTTCTAACTTTGATTTGGTGTATGACAAAGTGCTGATTATCTTTTATGTGTTTTCTTTATAAATCCCAGTGATGTAGTTGGTAGCATTCTGAGCAGGAATGAAGCTAAGAATAATTTACATCACTTTGTCAATGGAATCATAATCAAATGAAAATCTGAATGCAAAATCTCATCATTTCTATTGCATCCATAGGCCAAACTAATAAAGGTGGTGGAATTGTATATCTCTGAAGTCCCCTGTTTGGATATAAATCAAGATGACAGTTTACTTATATACCAAAAGAAATAGGCAAGAGAAGAAGAATACAACCCATCCACTTTTATTTTATTGCTCTCAAGAGCAATCCACGTTTGGGAGGAAAACATATAAACATAGCACACACACAAAAAAACCCCATAGAAATGATGAAAAGCAGGGAACATAGATTTTACGTCATGCTTCTTTTTTGTATGGGTTAAGATTCCTGACTTCTTAACAGGGCAAGTAAATCATATGACACGTATGATTACCTCACAAGTCTAGTTTGTATCTGAGCAAGTTACGTATTGTTCCACTGGACAGTTTCCATTCACCAAAATTAAAAACCACAGTGCCTAAGAGCATAGTATTAATAACTTTACAAGGTTCATAACAGGCAAGTTGAATTGAACACTTAAATTCTCCACAATATGAATGAAATGATGTGATCTATTTTTCAAAAAAGTTTGTTTTATTGTTGAAGAGCACTTGAAAATGGCATTAGGAATCCCAACTACTGTTTGCAAAGTTTACTCCAATGTCTCAGCATTCTACATATCTCTGAAATTTTCAGCAAATGATGTAAACAAGAAATAAAACTGATGGCACTTTATTGCAGACATCCAAACAAATCTGCCCACTATTTTACATAGATGTTAAATCATAATGGAGAAAATAGAGAACTTACAAATAAGACAGCAAACAAAAAAACAAAAAAACGCACAACTCTGTCGACCTTGGTCCCTTAGCAATATTTACTGGATTTGCCAAATTTATAGATTAAAAAACCTATGTAAAATGTGTCCCAGTTATCATCTCAGGCAAATAATCCAGCAGCATATCAAGAACTACAGAAAATGTGAATGAATTACATGTTTTGCTGACACAATCTAAGGCAAATTTTTCCACTTTATGGAAACATATTTGTCATAGTTTCTTAAAAATATCAGATAAACCTGGAATTGGTATGTGATCCCCAAATTAAATAACAATAAATATTATTTGTTTATACTATACATATTATAAATGACCAGAACCCTAGGAGATTGCTATGTCTCATAAGATTGTGATCTTCCTATCAGAAATCTTGTGCAATTTAGACAACAAAGACAATTTCATGAGATACAGCACTTGAAAACTTAAACTTTTTACCATTAAATATATATTTAAAGACTCTAATGTCTAAATTAAGGACTATTAGCATTCACTTCATTGATCACATTCCATCTTCAAATCACGGATTGGGAATTACTGCTCTAAGCTAGCAAAGGGTAAACAATGGAAAAACAAATCCAGATGATTTACTACCTGCATTACAGGACAATATGCAGGTGAATGAAATTATTTGGGTAAGATTTATAGATCAGGTCAGATAACAGCAGGTAGAAAGGCTTCTTAGACCAGAGAAATTGGCTGATCCACTAAAAAAAACTACCTAGGTTTGAACCTCCCCATTGAGCAACTTTAAACTAAAGACAAGCCATATAGAGTTCTTGTACTCTTCCTGGCAAAGGCTGACTTTCTGCTTGATCAGGATAGTCCACCAGCCCCTGATCTTTTTAATCTTTGCCTTGAAATCAGTTTCCTGAGATCAGCATGCCCAATTTCCTCTTTAGACTTTTGGATCACTTTCTTTTAGCACTAGACCAGGGGTGTCAAACTTGATTTCATTGAGGGCTGCATCAGGGTTGTGTTTGACCCTGGGAGGCCGAGTGGGCATGGCTGGGGTGGGCGTGGCCAGCTTGACATCCTGCAGCCCACACACAGCTCTCCAGAGCTCCGTTTATGCTGGCATAGAGCTGCAGGAGGCCGGCACAGCTGAAAACGGAGCTCGGGAGGGCTGCATACACCCCCCTGAACACCGTTTTCACTGGTAGAGGCACCATGGGCCAATCCTTCGGTGTTTCAAGGGCAGCCTCGTGGGCCAGATCTAAACACCCCGCAGGCCACATATGGCCCGCGGGCCTTGAGTTTGACATACCTGCACTAGACTAAAACATTTGCCAGTGACCCTGCAAGAATGGACATTGTTTTTTATGCTGATCATAAAATACCATGGGCTAAAATTCACAAGGATACTGTTGGGTTGCTCATGAAGTTGTTACATAATGGATTCAAAGGAAGAAATTCTAAAGTCAGGTAATCATGGAATCTTTGGTTAAAATTCTGCATAAACTCTGCCTTTCCTCATTAAATGTGATAGTTGTTCTGGTATTCCTTCTTCTCATGAGATTTTCAGCATGGCAAATTCAAAACATACAAAAATGTGACACAACCCTGATGTCTCCGACTCCATTCTCTCACTGAATTTATGGCAAAGAAAGGTCCAGCCAGGGTGACCTACATTCATACATATCTGTAGTCACGCTTTGCAAATTTGCCTGCAATAGTGCAATTAGTACCCAAATAGCTTTTTATTACCTGTTGGGTTTCTTCCAGCTATCCAATGTAATGGAATTATTCTAACTCATTCTGTAGATCTACTAAGATTATTGTCAATGACCAGGAAATGTGGGAGTGAAATAGGAATGGAATAGGAAAGGAATGGAACAACCAGGAGCATTCTGATTTACCACTGAAATCTTTTTCCTTGGATGTTTTTTCTCCATACCCCTTGCTAGATTCAGCCCATTTTCAAACTCAATCATGTTCCAGTCTGATTTTATCCTTCTCATAAACAGTATTGTTTTACCAGATTTCTTTCCAATTTTATCCTTGGGAGAAAAGAAAGGGCTCCTTAGTTACACTAGGTGCAGTTACCAGAATCTTGGGAGGGGTGCAGTATAGAATAAACTGTCCCAATCTGTTGCTTTAGTGTCATTGCTTTTCTTACAATATAATTCCGGTTTGAGGGAAATACACCCTCACTTCTTCAATTCCCAAATCATTTTCACACCTGCTGATTGAGAAATGCAAAGGAACAAAAGCCTCACTTGCTAGCAATGCAGTGAAAAAAATGCTCTCCTATACTCCATACAAAAAGGAAAAGAAAACAGAGGGAATCTTAAACAGCAACATGGGTTGTTTAGAAGAAACTGTATTCTGCATCCAGTTTTGTTACCTGCCAGCAGGAAAGCATCCATTTAATCACTCTTATTAATTAATTAATATTCTTTTAAAGAAACTTGCTCATTTCACTCCTTCTTGCTTCACCTAAATGTCTAAGAGGTGTGCATAAGATGATGATGATGATGATGATGATGATGATTATTATTATTATTATTATTCCTGTATCTTGTAAGCGATTGACAAATCAAACAAATAAATAAAATAAACAAATAAGATACAAAGCTCCCTTAATTCCTGAGGCATCTGTCAAAATTCATGAAAGTTTTGCAAAAATATTTTGCTCAAATGAATTCAAGTGATCTTGACTTTCAGTTGATCTCCCAATATTCTGATTATGGCCGGATAGCACTTTTCTAAAAGAGTGATCAGGAACAAGTGGCTGTGAATGAAATTACATGTGCATGGATCTGATGCAAATTTCTCAGGTGGAAGCAACCCAGTTTTTGTATTTCCTAGAATTTATTTTATGTATTTATTTATTTATTTTTGTCAATTGCTTACAAGATAATAGGTATAAGTAAAAACATAGTTATGAATACATGGATACATATAAGAAAAATAAAAAAAGAAAACAATAGGACAGGGACGGTAAGCACGTTGGTGTGCTTATGCATGCCCCCTACAGACCTCTTAGGAAAGGGGTGAGGTCAATAGTAGACAGTCTAAGGTTAAAGTTTTTGGGGTTTGGGGAAGAAACTACAGAGTCAGGTAGAGTATTCCAGACATTGACCACTCTGTTGCTGAAGTCATATTTCCTGCAATCAAGTTTGTTGCGATTAACCTTGAGTTTGTATCTATTGTTTGCTCTTGTGTTGTTATGGTTGAAGCTGAAGTATTCATTGACTGGTAGGACATTGCAATGTATAATTTTATATATTATACTTAGATTGGACCGAAGGCTGCTTAGTTCTAGGTTTTCTAGGTCTAGAATTTTGAGTCTGGTGGCATAAGGTATTCTGCAATGAGTAGAGGAGTGGAGAACTCTTCTTGTAAAATATTTCTGGACTTTCTCAACTGTGTTAATATCATATAAGTAATGTGGGTTCCAGACTGATGAGCTGTATTCGAGTATTGGTCTAGCAAATGTTTTGTATGCTCTAGTTATTAGTGTAATATTACCAGAGAAAAAGCTACGTAAGATTAGGTTAACAACTCTTAATGCCTTTTTGGCTATGTAGTTACAGTGGGCTCTAGCCTTAGGTCATTAGAGATGAGTACTCCAAGATCCTTGACAGAGTTTGGATCATCAACAAGGTCTTGACTATTCAGCCTGTATTTTATTTTCTGATTTTTTTTGTCAATATATAGGTCAGAGCATTTATTTGTTGAGATTTGAAGTTGCCATTTGTTTGACCATTCTGATACATAGTCAAGGTCTTTTTGAAGGGTAGCAGTATTGTCTGTGGTGTTGAATAGCTTTAAATCATCAGCGAAGAGAACGCAGTTGCTCTTGATATGATCACAGAAGTCATTTATGTATAGTATGAAGAGAGTTGGTCCTAGAATACTGCCCTGGGGGACACCACTATTGACAGGTACAGAATTTGATAGGACACTCCCAATTTTGACCATTTGTTGTCTGTTTGACAGGAATGCTTCTATCCAGTTATGCAGGTGTCCAGAGATACCGTAAGATGGATCAAAATTTCAAAGACAAAGCTAAATGTTTCCATCTATGAACAGCAAAGAACATGACTGTAGAAATGTCGATACATATTGTTGAAGAGTTAATGTGTATGAAAAAAGGCAATCAAGATAAAAAAAAGTTAGAACTGTGGAAAAAGAAGCCCAAATGGAGAAAGCAGATTTCTGTTGATGTGATTAGGCTTCTATATAATCACAGAATGCTTTAGAGGGAGAACTGGGTTGAAGGTTTACTTAAGATTTAATAAAAGGTGCTTACATGAAGCAAAAAAGAGGCTACTGTTATTCAAAACAATTTGAGCCACAATTATTCAAGAATCTTGCTTTATGAGTCTATATTCTGTGTTGTTGACTGGTACACCCTCAAACCAAGTAAAAGGCTGGGTTCAGAATTGTTCAATAAAGATAAATCTTTCAACAATATTTGGGCAAGCCAGTTGGGAATAAGGCTGCTTTTAAAAAGAAAGGCTCCTTGGGAAAATTAATATGTATCATTTAAAGCCAGCAAAAATATAGTGTATTATGAACTTTTGGGGGCATGAAAGAGTTATGACTCTCTCTGAATTATTTTTACCAAGCATATCTTCAATGCCAAATTAAATATATTAGATTAGAATTATGAGTTGTAAAAATGCAAGTGATATGTTTCCTACAGAGGCTTTTTTTTCTTTAGTCATCTGTAAGAATTGTTTTGAAAAAAATATAATAAAAAGAAATGCACTTTTTATCTGCTTTAGATAAAACCAATGACATTGAATAAACTGATCTGTAGAAATTGTGGGCAACTGAGGGAAATTGTGGGAAAAGAATTGGACTATTTAATTTTTCCCCATTTTTGCCTTTGATTCTATCATTTTAATATATATACATACTCATATAAAGACCTCTAAGTTAATAATTCACCATCAGAAAACTGTCCAATGAAAAGTAGAGACTCTCCTCTCCTTAAGTGAAATGGTCACATTTTCCCAGATAACAGGCTAGGGCAGAATAGAATGTCTGATTCTTTTATAGTGTAAGTGAAACACTAAAATGAAACTTCTGATCAATCATGCTGGCTTGCTGATTTGCTGTGCTGCACTTCTTGACTTTAATCATGCCATTTGCAAAGTTGCTAGATGACTGTGTTGGTTAATCCAAACTAGTCACAAACAATATGCACAGCTGCCAGCAAATCCCACACTGACAGTATGTTTGATAGCATCACCTTGTACTCATATCAATTTTATAAACTGTTGACTTTTTAATATTTTTTGATAAAATATATCTGGCAAACCCCTACAAGAGTGTCTTAAGAAATTTGCTGTACTGTATATCTTCATAACTATCCAGTTTGCAGGAAAATACTATCCCTCTTGATTGGAAAAACAAAAAGGCAAATTTGTATTTCTGGTGTTCTATGATAGGAGACAAGGTGCTTCGGTTGTTCTGAATCTCATTCTGATCATTTACTAAATGACACCAGACTTACTCTCAGATTGAGCTAAATCAGATCTCTTGCTTTTAGAGTACTGGAACAAGTCTTGAAATTAAGCAGTTTTCCATATACTATAATTAGCAGTCTTCTAAGTAACTATTCATTGCATTGCCTAGAGTAATTATGAATCACGTTTAGGTGTTCGAGCACAGAAGAACCAAAAAGTGTAATATTTTCAACAGAAGAGATATAATAACTCAGGGAAGAACTTTGGAGTCCTGTGTGCTCTCTGAGCTTGTTGGTCATTTGCTTATAAACTTTTCATTATTATGTCAGGTGAGGTGACATTATCAATTCTAGTATTGATGATATTTCTAAGTTGGGTAATGAAATGTCTGCAAGCAAAAAACTAAGCTCAGAGAGTACCAAGCACTCCATTACAATATTTGTCTCCAAATGGAATGGTTTCACATCAGAATGTGATTATTACTGATTTCCTTAGCTATCTTGTTAATATTCAGGTTTCATTGGCTTTTTAAAGCTTACATTCCAACTCCAGAGGAAAAGGATAATTATTCTACATTAAATTATCTTCTAGGTTTTGTTATGTTATGCTGTTCCAGATACCTTTCACTTCACCATACTTTCTGAAAACTATTTGCATCCTGAGACTGTAAAAGGAAAATTTAGCTATTTCAAGTAATTTCCAAACAACCATGGCAATCAGATCAGAAAGCCTAATCCTTCTCCAGGCATCACAATGTGTTAGTTAGATTATGACTGTTATCTGCAATTAGAATTCTCATTAGTGAGTGGGGATGATGGGAATCCAACCGGTCCAGAAAGGCAAGCCAAGCTGACCTCAGGAATAGGGAGGATTGGGTGACCAGGTTCCATAATATTACAATGGTCACATCCCTTATATTTGTTGCTTTACACAGTAACATTAGATCTGTCACCCACTGTTCCTTCTGCAACTGAGATCAGCAACCCCCACGTTTGCATTGGTGGTACAGCGCACCCTCTGGGGTCCACTCTAGACCCTAAGGTAATGTCTCCCTCCTGAGCATGTGCAGAGTGCATAACAATTTCATCTTTATTCCCCGATGGTTCGGATCCTGGTTTTAAAGCAGCAGCAACCATTAAACCCCCCGCCCCACCCCTTGCCTCAACTGATGTACCTTCTGGGTTAGGACAAGCCGGAAAACGCTCTCCCTAACTCTCACCTGAGCCACCACATATAGTTGTGCTCATAAGGGAAAAAGCTGTTCGGGTCGTCGCAACAATACTTGATATCCTGGAAGCCGCAGCAATAGATCGCGTCAGCCTCGCCGTCTTCCCGCGGACAGCTGAAGGAGCCCACCAGCACTTTATCGGCGTTCACGTAGCTGGTGCAACCGGCGCTCATGGTGCGCGCTGCCCGCCCGGGAGTTACCGAGCCTCGTGCGGAGTTCTTCGACGCTCGGCTATACTTTCGGGAACGAGAAACCGCTGGAAGCGAAGCCAGAGCCGAAGCAGCGGAGAAATCGCCTCGACGCCTGAAGCTCTGACGACTCTGCTTTCAGCTCCCGCCAGCCGGCTCTCCAGAAAGAGGCTCCTTGCAGCTTCTCGCGACGCCCCGCCCTCTAGTCCTGGGCCCTGCCCCTCCGTCTCAATCTTGCTCGCCGGTCGCGACTTCAGGCTATATAGAGAACCGGGTGACGTCCAACCGCGCCTTTTCTGTTTTCCGTGCTAAAACAAAAATACAGTCCGAGAAAAATGCGATTGCCAATTCCCGTTTGGACACGCAGGAGCAGCCTAGCACCTTACCTAGATGTGAAAAATCTGGGAGGATCTTGAATTAGAAATTCAGTCTTTGGCGGCAGTGAGTTTAACCACGCAACAGTCTCACCCCCCCACACCCTACCCCCACTTTTAAAAGCAAGTCTTCCATAAATCCTAAATAAGCCCATTTTTCATATTTTATTTGAAAGGAAATCAAAGCAGTAGTGTTAAAACCAATTTTTCATATATATTTTTTAACTTTGATTACATGGAGTGAGAGATTTAAAAAAATGGTTCTGGGATGATCTCTTCCCAGGTACCATCCTCAAATGAAGAAGAGCAGGAGGATTACCCCGTGGTGTCATGGCCCAGCAAAAAGATGGAAGTCTACCCGAGACCTGACAAATTGATTTTGATCAAGAGCCCCTATTACCCAGACCAGAAATAGTTCCTATGTCAGACAACCATACAGCAAGGCAGAATGATCGAAAGGAGCATTTGGATACATTAAGAACCAGCAAAGTTCATCTGTAATAAGTCCAGACACAGCTAGGCTCAAATGGGCTTAAGAGACACTACTGGCTGTTGCTATTTCTGAAATGGTTTGGCTTCTGCAGTGAGAGCCCAGTATCAATTCCCCTCATGAAGTTCCCTTATCATTGGGCAGTGTCCTGAAATCTAGACCTGGTCTACATCTGGCTTTCCGTCTCCACTTCTCCTGCTTGACCTTCGAAGAAAGCCTTGTGCATAGAGGGATTTATTTATTTATTTAGAAGATAACTGACATTTCAATTACGATAAATACTTTGTTTGTAAGGCCTAGAGAGGTCTTCAGAAGGTAGCAGCATCTATCTTCCCTAAAAAGTATTCACAAACTGAGGCCTACCTTTTTCTGTCAACATCCTCTGTGCCTTGGTTTGTCTATTTATATCCTGCCTTTATTGTTTTTACAAATAACTCAAGGCAGCCAACATAGAGGTAGTCCTTTCCTTGCAGAAATGGTGGCTGCTTTTGGAACTTTTTGCCCCAGTCAGCTGGCCCGTGGGAGATGGAAAACCTCTACTGACTCTTGCTAGCTAACTTAATAATTGTTTTGCTTTTTTGCTGCCTGTCTGACTGCCTTTAGGGCCCAGTTTCTGTTGTGACTGGTGCACATTTGTGCTGTAGCTGCTTTGCCTTTAGAGCTGAACTTTTTCTTTAGCTCCTCAAAGCTGCAGAAAAATTTTCTTTGCTTGCTTGCTAACTTCAGCCTGGCAGTGACTCATCAAGGTGAGTAACTTACATATTTTATCATCATCTTTCTAGGCGTGCAATAAATTTAGCAAATGAAGGGATTAAAAGTGATGGAGGGCAGAGGTAGAGAGTTTGGTTTCAGCACTTAATTCAGTGGGGGAGGTCAAGTCTATCCCTCCCAGCTTTTTGCTTTCTTTACTGAAAAATATGGATTTCTGGGGCTGGGAGAGGATTAATTAAAGGAAAGGGGGAAGGTTTTGCATGCAGGTGATTGACATCCCCAAAGCTAGCAAGAACCAGAAGAAGTTTACAGTCTCCCAAAGGCCAGCTGATCAGGGTAGAGGCCCAGTCCACAAGAATGGCTTCATCAGTCAAGCACGGTGGTTTGCTTGGAAGCCTCTCTGGCATTGGAATGTGGCGCTAGGCCCTAATCTAGCCGGGTTCTTTCCCTTGGCTGGGCAATGTTTGCCTTTGCAAAGCTTTTTACTACTTATCTGCCTCCTTTATGGACCCAGTTAGATGGCAGGCCTGACAGCCTTCCCTCACCTAGCAGATATTCCATGCTTGCCAAATGTTTATCTAATGGTGGCATCAGGGAGAGCAGAGGATGGAGGTCATTAAGCAAGCCACTTAATGGTTGTCATTACAACCATAATGGTAAAGAAAGCAAAAACTGCAACCCTAATGGGCAATCTCCATTATGGTCATAGGTTGAGAACTATCTGTATCCACTTTCATTTACTCATCCAAATGATTCTTTCAAGTTGGTCATACTTTAGTGTAGTGTACTCTGCAGGTTTCAAGATGTGATCAATGGCAAGGCTAACACTATGTAGACAAGAAAAAAAGCAATCCATCACTGTGCTATGAGAAGCCACATGGATCTCTAATAATAAAACTGGATAAATTTATACCCTAAACTGCAGATCATGGTCTTTCAGTGTTTTGCTGTGCCCTTTAAACTAAAGTGACAGGAGAGGGGTAGGAGTGGACTTCACAGAACTTATACCCAATTTATTATGTAAGTTCAAAAGCTAAACTTTTGAACTTCAAAAAACTTTTTCCCATTCTCCTCGTTATTCCAGAAAACAAATCCCCCTCCCATTGGAATTTAGACTTATATGGTAATTTCAGGTTGTGGCTTTACTTCTAATTGGTACTTCATTAAAAATGGACCAGTACCATGACCTAGGTGAACTTTGTTTCATTCATTTTTCCATTTATTTATATAGCTTTCAGGTTATATGGGGAACGTTTTACTTTGCCTCAAAGGCAAATTACAGATTCTGGTTTCTCAGAATTCTCAGGCAGAATGTTGAGTACTCTCCATTGTCTGATGTATAATGTTTAAAGAGGTAAAGATTCCAAAAACATCAGTTAACTCAATAAGAGAAAATTTCATAGAAAACCTGAGAAAATGTCAGCTCACTTTGCAAAATGTTAACATTTGGTTAAAAAAAAGATTTTGCTCAATAGTTTAGTACTACCTTTTGAACTTGTTGTTTTTAATTTATCTATTCCAGACTGTAAAAATGCTACTAGTATTTTTTTCTAGCACCCCGAATTATTTACCTGATAAAGATAATCAAACACTACAGGTCAAATTCACTTTGGAGCTGTACCATCATTGACTGCCATGTTATTATGGCCTTCTTAGCACCTCAAAAAAAGAGGATGGCTTGGAAAAATTCAGAATATCTGCAGATTTTTCTGCCATCTGGAAAATAGATATCTAGCTTTCTAGTTCATCAAAGGATCATTACCAAAAAAAATGAAGAAAGCTTTGTCATAGCAAATTCAAAGATAAGAAGGAACCTAGAAATGAAGAAAATCTCATTTCTTTTTTAATAAATGAGGTTAGAAAAGCTGCAGGAGTCAGAATATAGTCAAAATCTGCAAAATGACAAGTATACTATTCTAATCAATGCCCCACCCTGTTTGTATATAGATGCACATACAGTACATTCAATTATGATTCCATGCTGCTGAAATTTTGTTTTGAAGTGTACTTGACTCTAAAGAGTTTGACACATAGGTAATTTGTCCTATAGGTCTCAAATAGTTTATTCCAGTTCACCCCTCAACTAACATAGTGCTTCAGAACTACGGTTAAAAATAACAGCAATTCTACCCGTGAGTCATTGACTGAGATGGGTGGCCATAGAAATTGAACAAATAAAAAAATGATATAAAGGTGACATATTTTTCCATATAATCTTTACCATTTAGACTTTCAATATAGATATAACTGACTGCACTTCATGATCTTGGCCCTCGAGAATATGCAGAATATGGTAAAGATAAATACGTTGGTCATTTCTCATGAGACAATAGAACGTTTACTTTGAAAAAAACCAAAGGTTCTAAGGAGTTCTAACTGTTACTAAGATACCAGCAACATCAACCTGGTAAAGAAAAGAAAGAGAACAAAGAGTTAAACCCAAAATGGTAAGTTAACAATGGGGAGAGGGGGGAGAATGGAGGAGCAGGGAGCAGTGGAATGTATAAACAGGTTAATAATAAAATCTTTAAAATGTAAATTATTTTGGAAAGGTAATTGCTACTATTAAAAGGTGAGAAGGAGCAAATTCTCACAGAAACAAAATAGAAGTCCCCAGCTCCATTGAAGCACAGGGATTTACATTATAGCATAAGATTTAGCTACTTCAGTTTAGCAAAGGTCTCTCTTACTTGCAATTCTGCGAGCAAATAGACCTATTTGACAAAAATAGACCTATCTATAACAAAAAGAACAATGCAGGCATTTTCCCCATCACTCTTTCTCATTTATAGGATTGGAGCTGCTGTAATATCAATCATAGCGGCAACACAAAACACATCTCTGTATTTTGCTAAGGAGCTCATCTATTCTCATTAACGGGGAATAAGATGACTTCAGGACAAAAAGGCAAACTTCAGAGTGCGTGAGAATTTATGCCTAGGAAAGGAATTTTCATTTGCAGGAAAAATTATTTATCATTTAAAACACATCTTTAAAGTTCATTTCAGGGGAAAAAAACTACCTTTTGGTTAACTTTTGTTTCAGAACAGAAGCTTTTATTTTGTAAGACCAATCTGAGTTGATCCCTGATAAAAAGAAAGGAGGGTATGATTGCAAATGTTATAAAATGACGATAATAGCTAAACACCTCATAATGTTTTAAGTCATTCCTAAAATTTTGTGGATTACTTTATTTCATGTTCTTATTCTAATTATTGGCTCTATAAGTTAAACACAATATTGCATTTATCGTTTAAAACAGAGCCTGAACCAAGCAAATCTGAGCAGTAAACTCACTCCCAGAAACTTTCTGAAGCTTCATATCTTGGCCTGACCTCATGCCCCAGGATAGTGGTTTTGATACTTCCCACTAATATTATTTATTTTCCAGGTGTGGGGGGGCTTATATA